TGCTGCTCGATGGGTTAGGAGATTTAATTGTATTTTTCCACAGTATAATGTGCCTTCTAAAGGATCGAAACAGATACATACAAACCTTAGGATACAACAGACGACAACAAAAACGCAACCTGGCAAGAGTTTAAAAATACGAATTCGCATATATAAAACTGTAAAACATATTTGAAAGAATTATTATTCCTTCTTTAAGAATAGGGTCCATATATATATATACACAGAGAAAATCTATCTATCTATATGTGTGTGTGTGTATGTATGTATGTATGTATATATATATATATATAATATATATATATATATATATATATATATATATATACATGCGTATATATTGTTTATAAATGTAACTATATATGCATGTATATACAGTTATGTGTATGTATATGTATGTATATATATATAGTTATGTGTATGTATGTATATATATATATATAGTTATGTGTATGTATATGTATGTATATATATAGTTATGTGTATGTATGTACGTATGTATATATATATATATATATAACCCTTGATTGTATATGTATGTATATATATATAGTAATGTATATGTATATATATATATATATAGTTATGTGTATATGTATGTATATATATATATATAGTTATGTGTATGTATATATATGTATATATATATATATGTATATATATATGTATATATTATGTATATATATATATATACATATGTTTTATGTATATGTATGTATATATATATATATATATGTATGTATATGTATGTATATATATATATATATATATAATATAGTATGTATATATGTATATATATGTATATATATTATATATATATATAGTTATGTGTATGTATATGTATGTATATATATATATATATATATAGTTATGTGTATGTATGTATGTATATATATATATATATAGTTATGTGTATGTATGGATGTATGTATATATATATATATATATATATGTGTATGTATATGTATGTATATATATATATATATATATATAGTTATGTGTATGTATATATATATATATATATATATATATATAGTATGTATATGTATGTATATATATATATAGTTATGTGTATGTATATGTATGTATATATATATATAGTTATGTGTATATATATGTATATATATATATGTATATATATATATATATATATATGTATATGTATGTTATATATTTTATGTATATATATATATATATATATATATAGTTATGTATGTATATGTATGTATATATATATATAGTAAAAATATGTATATGTATGCATATATATATATATGTGTATGTATGTATGTATATACTTATTCTACATAATATATATGGATATATACATATGTATACATTTATATAATATATATGGATATATATATATATATGTATATATATATATATATATATATATATATATATATATATATGGATATATATATATATATATATATAATATATGATTGTATGTATATATATATATATATATGTATATATATATATATATATATACATCTATGTATTTATTTGTATATATATATATATATATATGTATATATCTATGTGTGTGTGTATATATATATATATATATATAATATCTATACGTATGTATGTATAAATATATGACCTGACTATTGCGTTTAGCATGAATCAAACTGTGTTAACTTCAATGTTCACTTTTATATTTACACACGCTCTATCTCTGATATTGAGCACTTTATTCCATAAATATAGAATATCTTAAAACCATATTTTATCATATATATATATATATATATATATATATATATATATATGTGTGTGTGTGTGTGTGTGTGTGTGTGTGTGTGTGTGTGTGTGTGTGTGTGTGTGTGTGCATGAGGAGAAGGACGTTGATATTTTAAAATTTGAATGTTTGTTTTTTCGGATGTGCTTGGATATATTGTCTAGCCAATTTCATTTTGTTTCTTTTACTATTTGTTTGCTTCTATCAATCTTGTTATTAAATATCCCACACTGTGATAACAGAAGATATGATAATAATAATAATAATAATAGTTGTAGCTGGAGCCTGCGGATTGATTAGAAAAGGTTCCGATAGACTGAATGAAGGGTTTTTTAGTAGCCCATCCCTTGAACAAATGCAAAAAATGTACTCACTACACGTACAGCACACTACTTACGAAGGGCTTTATCAATTCAAAGGTTAAATGTTGTAAGCAGCTGGATGTAAATTTACTGTGGATGATCTACCGATGAAAGCATTTTTCTATATATTTTCGTCTTTGTAAATAGTCCTCGTCACCCCCAACCAACTCACATGTATATGTGTGTGTGCGTGTGTGTGGGATTTCGGCTCGTATAAATCAACTACGCTATAATAAAGTCTACCCCGGAAATCGACCAATTCCAGTCGATTTTAGAAATTGCTCAGTACCTACTCCATTATTCGTGCTCACAGAAAACGATCTGGGAATCGAATTCGCTTTGCACATGACTTCATTTCTATCGCTGAGTAAATATTTTGCCCGTTCCA